ATACCAGCTCCACTAACTGAAACCCACCCACCATCAGCAACACGGCTGGGCCAGATGCATAACCAGCTGCAAACTGCATTTTCAATTTCCTAGCAAACACAGGAAGTCCCGTCAATTTCTGACCATACCTCCATTGAACTTCTGAACTTTAATTACTTTTTCTTTTAGCATCTTTAATCTCCAATAATGAACTTCTATGTATCTCATTCAAATATTATTATACAATTATCCCATCAAACCAGCCACACAGATGGTCTTTAAAAGTAAAAAATTAACTTATTTCATATGTTCAGACCTGCTTTATTTATCAATGCAAGTAAATTAAGGCGGAAAGAAAAGAAGTTTATAAAAACAGACCTGATTTTGACCCCCAAGACGCTGCTACTCACAGCAGTTCCCTTTTCTTAGATTAATCTATGAGTACAACTCAGGAAATCTGTGCTCATTCTTTTTCTAATTCATTACATATGGGAATATAGATGAAAAGGAAGAAATACAAGCTTTTAAGAACCTGGACCTCATCTTCAAGTCAGGAGAACAGGAAGACACACAGAGAAGCAGCATGGCTTACAGATTATTGTCAAACCATCATGATTATCCTTAATCACATGATAATTCAGCTTTAATAAACTCAGATAAAATATGAAAGGATTTTTCTATATAGACCTCAGTATTTGTGGATTCCCAGAGAAAAGGCGGCTGATAATGAATGCAATAGCAATTTCTTAAAATACTTTTTTCTTTAGAGAAAATTATAATCTAAAAAAACATAAGTTAATCTATGTAATTAAAACTCAGATCTTTAGTTAACTACAGGCAGAGCCGCTGTACTTGGAAAGTTGGGTGTTTTCTCTAGCTTACCTGAGGGAGCCCCTTTCCCCCAGGCATACGTCAGTGTAGTTCACGGAGGTCAGGTTCAAGTTCACCTGACGCTTTCAAGAGCAGCTATTTTATACCTCCTCTATATGGTACAGTAATAACGAGGGATAGTCAGAGAAAAGTAAATCTCTTGACAATGAAATTCTTTTTCTGACATGGCTCACTCTCTAATAACGAAAATAGGGCACAATGAAATAACACATTGGTAAAACTCATGCAAGTAGAACAAAATCATTTAAGCCTCCATCAAAGAAATGCTGATTTTAATGCAACAGATTAGCGTGAATTGATATTAGGCACAGAGAGCGTCTACAAAGAAAAGGGCTGTTAACTATGTTTGGGAAGAGAACGTGGATTTGACTTGCTGGGTGCTGCTGTCCCAAGGCTGGGCCAGGACGCAGGCAAAGATGCAAATTAAATATTAAAATACCAAAGTACAGATACACTTTAAGTCTGCTATGAAACAGAAATGCAGACATGTGTGCTCGTACACACACACACACACACACACACACACGATGCATACCTATGGGTTCCTAAGTCTTGCATGACCTGTTTTTTTCCTTCACTTGAAAATAGTAGTGCAAAAGGTATAAATAGTTGGAATTTTAATAAACGAAATGTCTACGGTGAAGTTTTGAGTCTGACCTTTCTTGGATGCAAAACTGGAAAAGACTCTGAGTCACAGACCTGAGGTGAGTCATCCCCCTCAGCAGCATGGTTCTGACCCTCCTCAGGTTGGCAGACATTCTTTCCATCTGATTGTTTTCGAATGCTTTGTATCACCTTTAGCCAGAGGAAAGTAGCAGGTGGGGTCTCAGAATCATATGTTCTCATTAAATTTCTGATGAAAATCAAAGTAAATTGTGCTGATCAAAGGTACAGGTGGAATTCAAAGGGCCTCACAGACTTATAGATAAAATTACCTAAGTTATAAACCTATCCCATTGATCTAAAAAAAGGTTCAGGCATAAAAAGCACTGATTGGAGCAGGTGGTGAAGGCAGCACAGAGAGGCAGCCAAGAAGTCGAGGCAGCCAAGACGTCAGGAGGCAGGTGGGAGGCAGGGGGCAAAGCCCCTCCCTGTGGGCGGCCAGGAGGGTAAGGCAGGAGCACCATCTAACTGCAATGCTGTGCGGGGGCAAAGAATAGTTGTAACGGACATATCTGATGACTTCTTTACAAAAGAAAAGATTCCATTAATAATTCAAAAAACAGATTTAGTAAATCTGGCCATGATCACTCAGGGGCTGTGAGTCCTACGCCTTTGAAGTCTGAAATGTGACCTTCAAGAACTACCACCAACCTCACGGCTGCTCTAACCGTCTGGTCTGCTCCAGGCACATGGCCAAGACTCTGGATCCAGGCTAGCTCAGCAAAGAGGGCATCATGTTATGACAACACCTCCGTCATACCTGGCAGCAGACAGCAGGTGAGAGAGAGTGCCCCACAGGAAGGCCCGGAGAACAGACCCTTCACCAAAGCCACAAGGAACACACTAGGGAGAAGACACCAACGGTGACAAAGGTCCGTGTGGGCTCTCCGAAGGCCAGGAGTGACAGGAGACAAGGCTGCTGTATGTAACCAGGCGGCAGGAGCATGGAGGATGGAAGGACCAGGGAGATGCAGGGACACTAGAAGCCAGGTGGGCACAGAGTGGCAAGCTGGGGTGTGTGAGGCCAACCGTTGAAGAGTTATGGAGACACTTTGTAGAATGCTGCATCCCTGTTACGCCAGGAGCATTTTTTAAAAGTCTCTGGTATTTTCAGGGGGAGGAGCCCAGAAGTAAGACACCTGATTTACAGACACTCTCCACTTCAGGGATTGTTGCTGACTCTTACCAGTCCCCATTTCCTTATCAAAGACCTTAAGTAATCTCAATCTAATAGATTTTTAAAAACACAACAGTCCCTCTGATTCTGGATTGATATAAAGTGCTCAAAATTAGTTCCTATTGGCCAGGTGCAGTGGCTCACACCTGTAATCCCAGCACTGTGGGAGGCTGTGGCAGGGGGTGGAACACTGGAGCTCAGGAATTTGATAACAGCCTGAGTAAGAGTGAGACCTCCATCTCTAAAAAGGAAAAAAAAAAGGAAACACAATAACTAGGCATTGTGGTGGGCACCTATAGTTCCGGCTATTAGTTGGGAGGCTGAGGCAGGAGGATCACTTCAGCCAAGACTTTGAGGTTGTTGTGAGCTGTGATGCCATGGCATTCTACCCAGGGCAGAGACTCTGGGTGTGACAAAGTGAGAGTCTGTCTCAAATAAATAAATAAATAAATTAGCCCATATCTCATTTTCTTCAATAAGCTTTTCATTGGTTCCAAATAATAATTTCTTCTATTTCAGCAGCACTCAAGTGCTCATAATTCAACACCTTCCGTGCAAGCCCATTACAGCTGTCTTATTTAGATAGACTTTATTTCCAAAACTGCATCTCCTTTTTTATATAGCGTTGGTATTATCTTCCCAGTCACTTGATTAACGTTGCTACTTAGAAGGTTATAATTTCAAAACCTTACATGAGAGTTCCAAAAGGGAAAGCCTTAAAATTAAGTAGGTAGATCTACTAGAAATTAACAATATCACATAATTTTTGAACCTAAACTACAGTTTCCACCCATTCCTGTGATAAGCCTAGCTTAATGAAACAGGTTAGATAACAATAAATAAATCAAGCATGTGTTTCTAAAAAGTGGCCCGTAATTGGCAAACGTTCACTGCCCTAAAACTTTGGGTACCGAAAGAGTCGATATATTCTAAATGTTCACTTCCTGCTGCTGGATAGAACGTCTTAAAAATGAACATTATAATAAAGAGAAACCAGAAACTATGTGTCTAGTTACGTTTGATTCTAGTGATGAGTTTATTTCTATGAAAAACCAAGGCAACATTTATGTTTTTTAAATAGTACGTGGTTTCTATGGCTGTAGAGTAACCCAAGATGTGAGTGTCAGTTACTGTGACAAAATCTCTCTGGACATATTAGTAAATTACAGTAGAAGTCACTTTTTTGAAGGAAAAATTTGAAAATTTTACAATAGCATTTTTATAAATGCTAAAAGTAGGTTGAGTGTCCTTAAAGTGAAAAATCCAAAATCAAAACTTTTTGAGCACTGACACAGCAGAAGTTACTTCAAGCACGTAACTTTCTGGCTGCATTCATGGCATGTCATCTGGTTTCCTGTTAAGGACTTACGTATGAACGGGGCAAGAACATGACTACTTATCAACGGCAAATAAATTCAGCCAGAAACGGTGGAGATGCCGAACAACTGGGTTGTCCACGTGAGCGCTGAGACGAGACACCTGGGCTTTCTTACAGTTTGATAGACTTTGTTCCATGCACAAAATTACTGGAAACATTGTACAAAATTACCTTCTGGATATGTGTATAAGGTTTATAGGAAACATAAATGAATTCCATGTTTGCACGTGGTCCTGTCTCGTTACATATATGCAAATATTGTAAAATCTGAAAAATACTTCTGGTCCTAAGCATTTTTGGTAAGAGATACTGAACCTGGATGAATAGTACATTTAAAGCAAATACTTAGACCTAATCAGAGATTCCTGAGTTGTGACTGACCACACCGGCTGCAGGTCCATTCTGGACCCTGGCAGTCGTACCAGCTGATTCTCAGACTGACCACACCGGCTGCAGGTCCATTCTGGACCCTGGCAGTCGTACCAGCTGATTCTCAGTCCCCATCTCTTTCTCTGCTTCTCTTATCACAAAAGGGTCAGACACCAGCTATAAACTGAAGATCAGATTTCATCATAAACCAGAAAGAAAACACAGTCTGCTGATAAACACAGAAAGGCCTGCTGAGGGAGCTTAGCAACTGGCCCACCCTTCATTCACCACGACCACGTACTTCAACAGACATGGGTTCTAAACATTCTTACAAGAAAAAAGTATCTTCAGGGTAGCAACAGAGATATCCCCTGTTGGGACAGACTCGTGACATTATCATTTCAGCCACTAACAGCTATGAGGAGAGAGATAGGATTTACGTATTTTTATTCAAATAATTTCTAATTATTCAATCATATTGCATCAAACTAGTTTTTTATGAAATCCATCTCAAACGTAGGTAAAAGTAAAGATTATACGTACTTAGAAGAAACTGCCTCCATGAATTCGTCCACAAACTCATCATACTCTGCACCTCGCACCCTTCTCTGCCGCAGCCCGATGTAGAATGGGTCTTTAAGTAACTCCTGTTAGAAAAAGTTGCCATAAAAATAGAATAATTATAAACAATTCATTTACTCTAAGCTTCAGTTTCCTTGTCTGTATAAAAGGCACAGAAATAGAAATAAACCTTGCCATATTGATTCAGAATTAACCTATAGAGTTGTTATTTAATTTTTTCTTTGCTGATATAGGAGGTCTCCCTCTGTTACATGGATTAAAGTACAGACGTGTTGCATAGCTCACAGCAACCTCAAATTCAAATGATCCTCCTGCCTCAGTCTCCTGAGTAAGTGGGACTACAGGTACACTCCACCACACCCAGATAATTTTTAAAGTTTTGCGGAGACAGGCTCTTGGGGTTGTCCAGGCTGGTCTCCTGGCCTTAAGCTTGGCCTACCAAAGTGCTAGGATTACAGATATAAGCCACTGAGCCTGGCAATATTTAACATTACATAGAATCTAACTATAGTATTTATACACCAAGTGAGAAAAATAATTGCTAAATGTTAAAACATTCTGGGTTATTCTGAGGGGGAAAAAAGGAATTAAAATATCTTAGTTGCACTAATCAGAAAAGTTTAAATCGGATTTTATAAAGTTTATCACACAGAGAAATAATATTGAGTTTTGAAGCATTATATTAGTTTTAGGAAACAGAAGGGCAGTGATTTCATTTTTAGGTTTATTTACCACTTCCAAAAGCAAAATCTTCACATAATATTTTGATTATGCCTTTAGTATGATAGATGACAGGCTTCAAAAATAAATTTTTAGATTTGACTAAGTTTTTCTTAACCTTACACAGTTTATTTCTAACTGATATAGCTGAGAAAACATTGTTCGGTACGAGTTTTACTATATATAACATATATGTAATGTTATTATTCAGTTTTTAAATTGAAATATAATTTATACACTATAAAGCACGCCCCTTAATAACAAAAGCTCTAAGTAAAATCTGCAAAGCCCTCAACCTAGTAAAGGGCATCTGTGAAAAACCCACAGTTAACAGCACGTTTAACAGTGACCGTCTTGGGATGAGACAAGGACATCCTTGTCCTCCTCTCTGTTTCCATGCTGGAGACCCTGACCCTCACAGTAAGGCAGGAAAAGAGAAGCATACAGACGGGGGGACAGGGGAAGAAGCAGCGAAACTGTGTTTATGTTAAACATGTGACTGTGTCCACAGAAAACACTAAGGACTCCACCAGCAAAAATTCCCTCAGGAAAAAAATATGTAAATTTAACACCTGCAGGATCTAAGGTCAACGTACACAAATCATCGTATGTCTGTACACTTGCAATGGACAGTTGAAAATGAACTAAGATGCACAACTCCACTGACGATGGCATCCTGGAACAAAATTCTCACAGACGTATTTAATAAAGTGTGAGAAGCCTGCACATGGTACAGTGAACTATCACATGATGCTCGAGAAACTTACAAAATGTTACCCTGGTTTAACAGGTTACAAAAAAATAGGCAACTAATGTCACATAATGCTGATGCAAATTGACTGAACTGTCACCATCAGTAACCGGGAATAGAGAAAATCTCCCCAGTGAACTTGTGAATTTAGCAGAAGAGATTACTGGGCGGGATGATGGACGGGCTTCCCATGCCAGTCTAATCGGGAATAAGGCAGAAAGGAGGTGAGGAAGGGAAGTGTGACGGGAACACAGAGGGCACAGAATTGCTGGCGAAAGGTTCCCAAAATAAAGTACGGCCTGCCATCAGAGATCAAATTAAATGTGTGCTTGTAATAATTTTTTTTTAAACTTCTGAAGGATTTAAAGCAGAGCCTAACAGACCGTTCTAGCTGGACGAAAGGATCCGGTCCCACAGAGCTCTGACGTGCCAGCCACGTGGGAAGAGGGTCTCCCTTACACGGCTGTGAGTGGGGCACTGGTCTAATGGAGTAGGCCACAGTGCACAGTCTACTGTGATAGTGTGGCACTGACGTGGATTACTTAGGATGCAAACACTTCAAAATGAAAATACCTTGCAGGTTCTGGAGTTTCGATAGGCAGGAGGCAGACCAAGAAAGTCATTCAGCTGCTAACACAGACCACTTGTTATTGAAAAGGAAGAATGTCTTATAAAAAGGAGCCCAGGGTCCAGGAGGCAGAACCAAAAGCCTCAGAGAACAACGAACTACGGGACCTCTGGGAGGGAACTCAGTGGGCTCCTCAGAGCCCATTCCCGAGTCCCTGGGAGCTGGCCTGGCAGAGTGTGGCCATGGGAATTCAGAACTGCTAGACCACTGGGAGCCACATGATCCCTCTGCCTCCAGAGCTGAATGGGAAGGCCAACGTGGTCATGCTGTCCCTGCCTCACCAGTACAGGTTCAGTGCATGGGAAAATACCAGAGGAGTCACACCAAGGAGCAAAACCCAGAAGCCTCATTGGCATAAACTCTGGGCCTGCTGCTATTAGCTGGACACAGCTTTGGAAATGCTAGGATGGAGAGGAGTATGGCGCACAGAGTGAGGAATGAGAGACAGACCCAGGGGGCACAGGCATCCCAGCGTCCAAGCCACCTCTGTCCAAACTGCCGACCACAGAACCAGAAACACTAACAAAACAGTAACTGTCTTAAGCCACTGACCTTGGAAATGAGGTCTGTGCAGATATGGCGATGCTGCCAGGACGGTTAAACTATCTGAACAATCCAAAGCGGAGTTTAGTTAAAGACAGCAGAAATCACAGTGCACACCTGCGCCCCGTCCCTCTGTCACTACTCACAGCACTCGTTTTCCTTGTGAAATCGTCTTGGTTTGACTATAAGTTTTACTTACAATTTATTACGTAACGATAAGTTAAGGCTTTCCAGTTAGCTAGAATTTAACACGTTAAATCTTGTAAATGTATTTTAGATGAAATGCAAAACCTGGAATCAAGTGCTCCTGTGATGCACAGCTGTTTCTTAAGGCATAAAAACTCTCACGGGAGCTGGCGGCGTCTAGCAGCCGAGGCTGAAGTGCCAATGGCAGTTGCTACTCAGATGCCTGAGTTGCTACCCAGCTGCCAGAGCTAAAATACTCCTCCCCGTCTGGGATACATTTCGATTTCTAAAATGTGGGTTAGAAAAGGATCACAGTTGAGAGAAAGGTGACACGTTTCCTGTCTCTTTTGTGTCATCCTTCCCCCTGCTAATAATTAGCATACAGACCATGAAGAAGGACGATTGCAATTTCAAAGATTTTTAAATGAGATAGAGAATTTGAATTAAATCAGAAAGTTACAGGATTCTTCCAATCATAACAAAGTTCCCTTCAAAAATGGACTTTTTAAAATTTCATAAATTTAACTAAGAAAGCTAAGACAATGAAGGCTGGAATAAAGAAAACATTCTTGTAGATTCAGATAATGAAAAAAATTGCATCTATAAAAGCAACTTAAGACCATTCCATTTTCAGGTGTGGTGGCTCACACCTGTGATCCCAGCACTTTGAGAGGCCTGAGGCAGGTAGGTCGCTTGAGTTCAGGAATTTGAGACCAGCCTGAGTAAGAGCAAGACCCTGCCCCTACTAAAAATAGAATAAATTAGCCGAGTGTCAAGGCCCACCCTGTCATCCCAGCTACTCGGGAGGCTGAGGCAGGAGGAGCACTGGAGCCCAGGAGTTTGAGGTTGCTGTGAGCTGCGCTACCCAGAGGGACTCTGTCTCAACAGAAGAAAAAACATCACTCTATTTTCATAATGGCTCCACAGACAAAGGAGACTGGCACAGAGAAAGTAATATTAATTCCCTGAATTTAAAACTTCTTATGGTCAGGAATAAACACTGAAAAGATCTTTGCTAGAGAATAAATTCAAGACATGGTATTAAGCAAGCTCTTAAAAAAAGGTTTGAACTTCAGTAGCTCAAGGCTACACACTAAACACATCTGGTGTCACTGAGGACTGAGTATCTGTAAACATGAGAGAAGGGAAAAAACCCGGGGAAAGAGTGGACAGAGCAAGGTGTGCAAAGTAAGAGCCCAGAGGGACAGT